GTGTTTTGAATAGTGCTCCAGTTGGTGGTTGCGAATAGAGAACAAAGAATAATACAAGAGTTTGGTTACAATAATGAAATGGTAATCATTCTAATTGCCAATAATATTTAATAAAATGTATAATCAGAAACAGCCCAACACTTTTTAAATAATTCTATAGAAGGCTACATTTGTGGAGATAAATTTAATCCAGAGTAGATTTTAATGTGCCAAAGGCTAGTGTAGATTATTCCTCTTTGAATAGTTAGCTTGATTCTTCCTTTTGAGTGCAGCAAGAATTTGCTGACAAGAGAGATTTCCCCATTCCTCATTATTACTTTTCTCTGAAACTCCAAATTTCTGCAGGATCCCAAAGGACTTTTCTAGAAATATATGATGTCCTTCTGGGGAAATAATTTAACTCAATGAAAAACAACGTAGTATTTATACTATAATAATTTTCCTATAAATAGAAGATGTTTGATTCATGTGGTAATAATTTATTAATAATGATTATAAAAACAATAGTATGATTTATTAAATATCTACAGAAATGCTGTTCAAGAGAAGTATAATGTGAGTCATGAATGTCACTCACATAGATGACTAACACTTTTAACTATTATTTCAACATAAAACTAGTATAAAACGTTAACCCGAGGTTTTACAATTTTTTTCATGTTGTCTTCATAGTCTGTATATTTTTCATTTAAAGTAGATCTCAATCTGGACTAGCCAGATTTCAAATAATCAATAGCTATACGACTCTGTACTATATTGGAAAGTGCAGGTCTACAATGGGGCAAGTAGCAAATGTTTTAATACTGACAGTGAAATATATTCCATTTAAGCACCTGAGATTCAGTTTACAAGTTTTTATTTGTTTAATGCAGTTGGATGTTATCATTTTATTCAGTGGAATTCACGACTTTTAAAACACCAGGATACTACTGTCAGTGAGGCATTACATCAGTACTGAGATGTTGGGTAGGGGATGTGCATGGCCTAATACAGCTTAACTAAATGTCAGTGTAAGTTAGTGATTTCCTAAAGATGTGATTGGTGGTCTTTAACATAACCATTTTATTTTAACAGCACATGCCAAGATGCAAAGTGGTCTTGCACTGAAGCAATGTGTCCTGGAAGATGTAAGGTGGAAGGAAGTTCAATTACCACCTTTGATGGTGAAAAATATAACCATCCTGGAAACTGTCACTTTTTGGCCATCCATGTACGTAAGAATCTCAAACACTTCAGAAAACTAGTACAGGCTCCAAGCTATTTTTAAATTAATTTGAAACTCAATCTTCACCTTCAATTATTAAAAAAATAAATAAATAACAGTCTTTCAAGTACTGGTTATATATTTCAGTATGTTTGCGCTCACACTGACATTGGCAACCAGTATTACCTGTGCTCTTTAGAAATTCCTGTTTACAAACAAACAAAGCACCTTTCATCGCTAATAATTTTCTAAATGCACTGGAAAATTATTTGTGCTACTTTTCTTTGCATGTGTTCACTAGTGTCTCAAATTAAACTATCCTTTATATTCTATTAGAGGCCCAATGCATGAAATTCCTGCAAGGGTAGGCCTTCCTTCCCCCACCTGCCGGCACTGGCTTCCCTCTGGCACCCAGGACCCAGGCTTCCCTCACAGCCCTGGCTTTGTCTGGAAGGTTGTCGAGAAGGACTGCTGGTCTAATTAGCATATTATGCTTTTATTATTATAGATGAAGCATCTTTCTCTTTCATCATTATTCTTTGCATTTATTTTTAGGTTTTATGACAATATTATCAGTATGATAGAGGCTGTCCTTATATTTAAATTCTTTTCAGTATTAAAATTTTAAGTAGTTTGAATTTTAATAAAAGTGGGAATCCCATTTTATAGCTTGTATCTTTGGCTAGCATGAGGATAAGTAATATTATTTAGTCTTCCTGGTAAGAAAGAAAGATGAACAGAATTTGTGATTCCTGAAGTGAGAGATGTGGGCCAACACCCAGTACTCTGAGAAATGTACTTGCTGCTGCTAAAAGTCAGTTTTCCAAATTTTCTTTCCTTCTCTTTGTACCCCTCATGTAATCCATGAGAATGGGGGACGGGTAAAGTGAGAAGGAAATATGTCAGAATGTATGGAATATTTGCTTCTTGTTGTTTAGGGATTCCTAGATCTTAAAATGAGAACTGGAAGTCAATGTTTGACATGAATTATATTGAGGTTTTATTAATTGTCTCTCACATAGGATCTAAATAGACAATGTGGATTGTCCAGAGACTAACCAAGCTAGGTTGCCTCTAATTCACCTTAGTCTCCACATACAGCATAACTCCCTTGGAGGAGAAGACAGAAAGTAAAGATTAAGAAAAAACAATGGCTATGAAAAACCACCAATCATAGGCCACACAGATAGAGCTGATCGGTAAAGCTCTTGACCAATTTTAATCTATACCATGGATTGAAGTTGGATTCCATTTTCAGAGCAGAATGATTGTATAGAGGCATTGTGGCGACAGAAGGAGACTTGATTTTGGGTGTTGAGCACACAATGGAATCTAGAGATGCTGGATTATAAAGTTGTATGCCTGAGACGTATAAAATGTTATTAACCAATGTTACCCCAATAAATTTAATTTAAAAATGCAAACATGCATTGTGAATAAATAAAATAGTAATAACATGTCATCGATAACATTTAAATTATTATTTAAATGAAATGCATTTTTGTTAACAGGATGAAGATTGGTCTGTTAGTGTTGAGCTTCGCCCATGTCCAAGTGGTATGTCAGGAACGTGCTTAAATAGTGTTACACTCATCTTGAATTCGGTAAGTCATCAGCTTCCTAAAGTTTACTCAGAGCACAACCAAATTAATTATGTCACAAATTCAGAATTTCAGTGGTTGTAGAAAAGAGACCTTACTATGTGAATTAAGAGCACAAATAAGATTATGCAGAAAAGTGGTAGTCTCTGGAAGAGCTGGATAGTTCCAAAGATCCTTAAATAATAAAGATATACCATAGATACACAACTAACACACTCATTATACATCAACCTTACATAATTATAAAATTATTAAATACTGTGGGTCATTTAAGAAAGCATTTATATTTGCTTACAATTTCATGTATGCGAAACTAACAATTTAAGTGGAAATAGACCTAGATGAGAAGGAAGAGCAGCAAGCCTGCACTTAGAAGCTTTTTAACCTTTGGAAATCCAAGTTACCTTCAAGGGTCTTAGTTTCCTCATCTACAATTGGGGATGAAAAGTCCTTTACAAACTTCCTCAAAGAGTTGGTATGAGAAACAATGAAGCAAAGTATGAATGGAAAATGCTTTAAAAATGGTTTAGATATTTAGGAATTAATCCAATAAAATTATACCCATTTTTATTGCATCTATTATGTATTACATTGCATTCAACTGAAATAATTTTGTAAATTGATATGAACTAACAATGTATTTTCAATTTTAGTCTGGTTCAGTTGACAAATATGTATTTAATAAAGATGGAACAGTCACAAATGACAAGATTGAAAATCAACATTATTACTATTCAGGTAAGTTTAATAATACCACTTAAAATTAAATGTAGGAGGCATTCATTTATTCAAGTTTTAATGATAATAAATGTTTCTGTTTTTAATATATATTAAAGAATAAAACACTTTAATAAATTTAAAACTGTTTAACATATTAATTCCTGCTAATAATGTAAATAATTCTTTTAACAGACAAAATACAGATTTTCAAGGCATCTCTCTCATACTTTCAAGTAGAAACATACTCTCATGTAAAAATGCAAGTACAAACTGATCCCGTGATGCAATTATATGTCTCCATGCCACCTAACCAATTCACAGACACTGTCGGTAAGTCCTCTGCCTATGTTTTTATTTCCAAGGCTCTAATATGTCAATCATCTATTGTAATTTTCAACTGCCTCTTAATGATATTAAACCATAAGTCATTTTTACTTCATCTTCCTTTTTATATTTCAGTACAATTTCAATTTGCTTTTTATAGTACTGACAACCTTGTTTGTTACAAAACCCATTCCTAAATGGTTGTCAACATTTTAGGCTTTTAAATAAAGGCTTTTATTTTTCAAATATAGTGATCTTTGATAATATGTTAAATATCCTTTTGTTAATATGCATTTTTAAGGATTTTGGTCTGTAAAAGAATAAACTAAGATATTATGGATATCAATCTTTTGAAAATCATATTTCCCATACAAACTACAGTATAACATCTTTTTTCTTGTCACGTGTTCATATCTTCCACTGAGGTTTTTTCTACTATAGAAATCAGCTCTTACATACTGTCCATGGCGTCACACAAAACAAACAAGAACAATTACGGCAGATTCCATGGTCACTTACGTGTATAAAGACTAAGCAAGCCGTACTCTTAGATAGCTTCTGCAGTTTTGACTTAAAGAACTGAATATGAAGTGAGGCTATGAGTCCAAAAAGTTGAGTAGGGAGGGGATGTTCAACTTTGTCCTGTGCTGTTCCACAGGGCTCTGTGGCTCCTACAACAACAGAGCAGAAGATGATTTCATGTCAAGTCAGAATATACTGGAGAAGTCGTCTCAGGCTTTTGCTGATTCTTGGGAAATGATGTCCTGTCCTAAAGGAAACCCAACTTCGTGCATCAGCATAGACGCAGGTAATGCTAATTATGTGCCAAACTCTGTGGTTAAAGATCAGGTGCTAGGAATTATGTACTTATTCTGGTAATGATAGGAGTCTATCACATAAATCTGGTTTTAACGACTGCTGGGCGTACTGTCCCATGATTAGAGAAACTGTCTGTCTGGCTGAGGGCATTCCTAACAAACACATCTTTCACAGGGAATGGCTGGGTCATCTCAGTTGTCGTTTTCTATATCCATTTTTTCCCTTTCTTATAGAGTTTTCTCCAAGGTTATAGAATAATAGGGGTAGAAGAGACTTTATAGATTATTTGGTTTATTAAATAAGGCTCATGGAAGTGATCATTGCTTGAAATTGATAAGAGTGAGCCACTTAACAATAGAGCTGTAGCCAGATCCAGCTCTCCCAGCCATGGCTATCAAATATATTAGTTATCCCAAACCCTGCATCTTATTAATGAAATTATACTGGGCGACAGGGGTGAAATGAGTGGTGTTGTGGTGGCTTCATTTACCCAACTTGTCAGCACAGACATAAATTTATATTTTAAATGAAAAGACACCTAAATAAATAATCTGGTTCTCTTTTTACCACTTATGTGTAGGTATAAACTGCATTTCAGAATAAGGTTAGCTGATTTTAGATAAAAGTCCAAAGCTAATAAAGATTTCTGCCTCTTTGGCTTCAAGTGTCTCTGATTATATCATGTTATTGTTTTTCTATAGCGATACATTCAATTTAAAAACACTTTAAAAACATAATTATTTAAAGACAAAACTTTGTTAAACATTTGCACTTTGTCTTATAATTAAAAATTATAAAGTTATTAATATAATTTTGGGGTGCCTTAATTTCCTTCCAGAAAGGTTTGCTGAAAGTCACTGTGGAATTCTTCTTGATTCAAATGGGCCTTTTGCTTCCTGCCATCCAATTGTGAACCCCAAACCGTATCATGAGGTATGTGAGGGTCTAACTTTAACAACTTTTTTTTAGGAAATACTTTGACAATATCAAAAGAACCATGCAGATATTAAAAATAATTTAAAAGCAACCATTGACAGTAGGTGATGATATATGTTTAAATTGAGCATGGGATTCCACTAATTTATTCAATTGTTAGATATACCAATTTTAATTTAAAATGTGGTACAAAAAATGAGAAAAATC